AAAAATAGTTGTGAATCGCATATGCTAACCAAAAAATGCCAGCCAGGATGCTTGCAGAAGAACTGAGATCCTTCCATGGTCTGTTGGTGTGAGTAACGGGAGTCGGCAGGCTTCATAACAGCACAGTTGAATAAACACTGCTTGTTCACCGCTCTACATGCAGATCAACAGTTCATGACTGTAATGACTTTGCACTGTAAGCAGGCTGCCAGATGAAACATCCACAACTCAGCTATCTTGGCAAAAACACATGAAAGGTGGCTAAGAGACTGACCGTTTAGAGCATAAGCCGCTGGCACTCACCCGCCTTAAAATCCAAGCAACAGAGCCTTTGTGATTGACGGCTAATGATGACTTTCGATGTCGCTGTTTTCACGAGCCATGCTTGAATTGGGTATTCTCTACCAAACTGCTTTAACTGTAACTCCCAATCCTCATGCAGCCACTACCCTATTCACTAGAACGTTATATTATCTCGATATTTTCATCGAATTAGTCACAGAGTCTTAAGGTTTCGTCGAAGAATCGACCTATCAGACGACAAGACCACTGCGAATAGTCAGGGAAATTCCAGCTTCAGCAAAGTGTTCGACTCTGCTTAAGTTAGAACTGCCAATTCAGAAGAATCTACACTTCATTCGCCGCACTGAATCGGTATCAAGAATAATTCATTCACACTTTCAACTATGACTGAGAGCAATGCAAATGAAGGCAAGCAGAACAGTGAAGCATTGCGCATATTTCGCTAGACTGTTGCCAACAATCTACTTACCTCTTTTTGTCTCTTCTGCAGTAAACGGGGTCAATCTAAATTATGAACAGTTAAATTTCGACAAAAAATTGACACTATTAAAGCAAAATCCATACTGACCAAGAAACAAACTTAACAAAGCACCAGTGAATAAAAATTCTACAATAAATGGAAGCATGATTTCAGGCAACCCAAAGCTGATAAGTTTTCTCACCCCAGAAAAAAAACCTGTCCGTTAGACAGTCTGACTCAAAGCAACGACGAATGAACTGAAGGACGATGATGACGACGGTGATTTTCCTTCAGCGACCATGTGTCTTTGTCTGAAGTGAAGGTGGGCATGATACAACATTGTGCTATAACGCCGTTAATGTCCCATTGATCCCATTTTAATACGCTGATCACCAAAGGTTTCTATGCAGGATGTAGAAAACTGAATTTGGTATAGGTTACTTAATACCAAATATATTTTAACGCAGTATATAAAATTTATAAACTTAATACATGAATTGCTAACTCTGAAAATAATATTTCGCTAAACCGGAGAAGACGGATGATCGCTGAGGAACATGAACGACACATAGCAATAGCAACGAAGCAGCCAGAAAAGAAACAACTCTTGCCTTTCAGCCAGTCTGTAACGACGAAAAAAAGCCTCAAGGATTGTGCAACATGCGGTACAGCAAGGAGATGTCCACCCTTTCCCCCATTCTGATGGTCAACGTGTACCGGAAACACCACATACAAACATTGGAGGAACAGGTTCATTAGGAAGGTATTAATCGTAATTGAGTCATGGGATAATCTCAACCGTGAAATACGAAACGAACTCTGGTCGGATTGGACGAATCCAGGTCGACTGTCGGCGCCTGCGGAAAAACTACTTAACCGACAAAAGCTCACTTTCTGACTCCAAACGTCAGAACAGCTGCGAAAGACAAAAAACTTACGAAGTCAGCGCATGGCTGTTTGAATGATTAATGGTTCGAGGCACCAAATGCAGCAGATGGTAAAACGCTTAATGCCAACGCATTTGGCCGCAGCATCATCAGGGCTGGAAGAGTACAACAGACTGCTTGAAGTCATTTATATCCAACCAGCGAACAACACCAATTTTTCGACTGACTCATTACATACAGTCAAGACACTGTTACACAGACTAAACAAGGCATTAAGTGTATATTAACACGCTGTTAAGATTTTACCCTAAAGAACACGATGAACGATTGGAGGGCATCTGAAAGCGTATTAAAAAATTGCAGCGTGGATAATTTAATGACAATCTATGATCTTGTGAGAAATGCTACCAGTTTCACGAACAATAGCAACCACCAGACGTATGGCATTCCGATGGGCTTCTCGGTATGCGTTGTTATAGCTGGTTTTCATATGGACCGCCAGAACGTGAAAGCCATTAAGAAATGCACGTTAGAATGCCGACCACTGTTCTATGTCTGATTCGCTAATTCATTGTGATTTTGTCATTATTCGAACGAAATGAAGACAAACTTTAACGGTGAGAATGTTTCGTGAATTACATAAATGCAGAACATAAAAATTGCCGAATATGCTTTAATACGGAAGTGAAGTTAGCCACTCTATATTCTTTCCATACGTGCTGATGAAGAGGACTCCAATGTTTGAATTTGAGGTTTCCATACATCGGAAACCAACACATCTAACCGATACCGAAACCCGGCGTCATGTGACCCTACTAGATTATTTAGGAACCTAGTGAAAAACATGCATTTGCAAGCCAAAGAGACTTGCACTAACAGTTTTGGCCCAAAGGCGGAAATGCAACATCTTCACCAAGCGTTCCTAAAGAACGGTTACCGAAGGAGGATTCCTAACGAAGAACTTTCGCACCCCACCTCAAATTTAAAGTTGGCCAACTCATACAGAAAAATAGTAATTTTACCGTTCATACCTTAGGCATCTCATCGTATCATTAAGTACCTTAATCACATGGAATTTAGGGCTTATTACAAGACTGGCAGAACACTGGGCGACATTTTATATAAAAAATACACGTCCATTAATAACCCGGATGTGTTAAATGTTGTCTACAAAGTTCAGTGCAGAGACTGCGACAACGTGCACATCGGAAAAACCAACCGGAAATTGAACATCCGTATTAAAGAGCACCTTGCTGCGGTCCGCTTGGGCAGGCTGGCAATTCTAGTATTGCCCAGTATGAGGGGCATTCTTGATATGAATGGCATTCTTACAGTCAAACGAATGTGTCTGACATAGACAAAGACCAATCTAAATTAAGTCTGCTGATAAAGGAGTCATATATTGGCAAAAAAACCGGATGTGCAAGGAATATACAACTTGTGCTGTCATCAGTGAAAGCTGGGGAGCAATCACAAAATTTATATGCAAAATCGGGTCAAAATGACATGTATACTATTTATTTTGATGTAAACATTTTTTTGTTCAGACGGTGCAACAACGTCTCGGATGTATATGATGAGTTAGTTGAAAAACTGGTACCGTTGGCTAATTGGACACAAATGCCTTCGAGCAGACAATTCTAGTGAAGCGGCCTGTGCAGTGAAACGTGTAGCATTAAACTCTTTACCATCTGCTGCATTTGGTGCCCCGAACCATGAATCATTCAAACAACCATATATATATATATATATAACTATCAGCCAAGAATAGAAACGTGAAGAATTACTTAAGTCAGCAAACATCTCTATTTTAAAGAAGGCCCATGAGACAAGGGTGAAACTTTACCACTGATCAATCATCCGATCTTTTATATTATTTACGTCGTGTCTGAAGTTTAGTATATCTTATTGTATGATGTTTTCAGTAACTGCTACTCGCATGACAATCGTTTGAAATCTGACATGCACATTATGAAATATCTGCGATAGGATGACAAGCACGGTTCACAGACTCACTTCAGCACAGAAAGCTACCAAGGACTTCACCGCCCAGTTGAGCCGCTCACTTTCGATACGGTCAAGCAACGCAGATAAAGCCTTGATGCTCTGTACGCAGGCGTCGCAGCGCAGTCGAACTAAACAGAAGCAAAGGCGCCGTTAAAACAATACCAACCGGAAAACGAACAGCTGCCTAGCTGAAAAACAAAAGATTCGCATCATATTAGTTTTCATCAAAATCCAGTTAAGAGGATTGTGTTAAAAAAATATATTCTTGTAACGCCGTTCCACAGTGCATGATCATGTTTACATCCGTAAACTATCCGATACGAAATATCAACAAATAACAGCCAACATCTCTGCATCCACAAGCTCTCCTTTTCACAACAGTACGCTTGCTTTACACAGGAACCAACCACATCTTTTGCCTCACCGATTTCTGCGACCATTACTGGTGTGCTCTCACACAAACATATTATAAGCAACGCGATTAAAGATGTTGCCATTCGAACAGGCCAGGGCCTTTGAACCAATTCGGTCATTCATAAAAGTATACATTTGTTTCGGTCGATAGTTTTGGTTCTTCTTTAAATGGACTGTGTAAAAAAAAATTATTATTCGTAAGCGTTAAGCGGGTTTTTAATGTAGTAGATATTGTTTATGGTTGCATTTCGGGTTACGTGCTACACGAACCGTAATATGTAAATAATTAGGCCACTGATGCAGTATTCTTTTAGTGTGTTGGTGGTCACATAGGAACATAGCGCAAAGGCGCTTAATTACACATTACGCGAAAAAGGTAATCTATCAAGTGAGATCACCACAGATGTTTTGGTCAGCCAAAAAACTTAGCGTACTCAACGGGAAGCTGGTGGTCTCCGATTGATATTCATGCTGGTCTCAGAGGCTTGCCGATTTCCAGCTGCCCTTTAAAACAAAGGAGATTCAGGCAGCTCTTGAAGGCAGACGATGACACACGGACAAAACTATCGGCAGTAATCTATCACCTGACAGACTGTCTGTTTTGCGACGTGTATAATTAAAATGTCTTCATCATCATATTCAGCATGAATACCAATATACAAAGAGAATACTATATCTAAGATATAATAATATTCTCCATATTCCTGACTGGCCTTTCCCTGCAATCAACAGGTAGTAAAGGTAGTTTGCGTCGTACGATCTGTCATCATATGCCTCCATGTCCTTTAGCTTAGCGGCATATCTGAACCGACGTTTCCATTTGGCTTTTGCAGCCCATGGGTAAAACGTCGTCAACATTGGAGACTATGTGTAGACAGTCAGTCCCACAATGTGACTTGCCCACTGTCGTTTTCTTCATTCA